TCCCTGTTTTTGCTACGTCCTAACAGCCGACTGCACTAATCCTGTTGTGCTAGGTGCACTTCCTGAAGGAAACTCAAATCCTCGGCAGACCGCTGACGGGCGAACTGAAGACAGAAAGAATTCTTTTGAAGGAAGATAAGAATTGTCCTGACTTCATTGACCAGTCGAGGGTGCCTACGGGAAGAGACAACTGCAAATTGCTAACCCAGTTTAACTAAACCTTCAGAAGAAATTTACATCCGTCGGGGATGACTTATCTACTACTACACCGTCTGAAGCCGCCTAAGCACCTTTAGTTGGAGACACTCATCAACACTGAGGAGAGATAGGGATGACAAGCGAAGGCAATATGTTATTGTTTTCAGTGCTCCAGCGTGTAGTGACAGCGTATTGGCTTGTAAAGACCTATTTGATAGGCAGCAATGGGAAGCCCTTTGCTTCAGACTAGGGTTGGGAAGCCCACAAGATAGGTTGTGTAGGGTACTCCTGACAGACAGGCACAGCCTATTCATGAGATGAAAATAAAACAAATCGAGTGATTCAGGCGTAAAGAAACTTACACAGTTGTCCGGAAACTTGTATGCAACCACACGCAAGAGTTCACAGTGTTACTACACCATCACTCCCCCGAAAAAGGAAATTGCCTAGAAAAACAATAAAGGGGACCTGCAGAAACTGTCACTGGACTTATATATGACGGCTAGTTTTGCAAGCTGAATCTGTTTACCTTCAGCTACCCCAGAACGGGATGTGATTTCATCTAGGCATACAAACAGTCAGTAAGTTAATACACGGGATCCGAAAGATATCAACAATAAAGCATCGTGGTAACCCTCAGGGTAATCATAACAGAATCACTCATCAGACAGCAGCAATAAAGGTAACGGTTAAATTCATTACCCTCAGCATTCACCACCGATGCAATTCATCACTTCATTTTTCAAGGAGAAAAAGACTAGCCACTAAGAAGTAGTGGCAGGTGTGAGTGTATCCATAAAGAGAAGTAAAACTAGCTCTAGGAGGCTTTACTGACATTACAAATACCCCCCTTTAATTTTATGTACTTCGCTATTTTACTTCAACATTTTAAAATTATTTTTGGTGTCACTTCTCTCTCTACTAGTCTTGTTCTTTTATTTTATTTCTGTTGCGTGTGCATGCACCCCCAGTGTATTACCAGCCTTACACAAAATCGTCCCTCTCTGTCTTCCATTAGTTTAGTATACTGATTCTTTAGATTCGCTTTCAACTAGTTGAGTACTGCTAGGTAAAAGGAAATTTTGAATTTGCAGCACCACCACTTCTTTACGACCAATCTTGCGTTCAATAAATCTGCAGTAGCCAAGATGATAAAATGTAGTGAAAACTTCCAAAGACGTGAAGCCGTTCATAAAAAACAAAAAGTGATTGCCAGGAGATTATAAGGCTTACATTATCCTATCGGGAACATATTGGGTATCGAACCTGTAAAATGAATCACTGGACTGTACTACTCCGACATCCAGTAAGTAATGAAATTTCTGTCTCATTAGAAAATGTTAGCTTTCACCTATAGTCAAATGACATTTGACTTAACCATCACTAAGCAACAGTAAATTTCTCTCGGATACGTTTCAATCCATTTTGACTGAAAAATTAGATAAATCATACGGAACCCAAGTAGTCAGATTTTCTTAACTCCTTAGGATGGCTTTTTTATGCTCAGTGGTGTTACCTTTGTCTGTCTGTTTTCGACATAGAACTTTGCACAAATGTGCGGAAGTTCAAGTCGCCACATTCCGTGTAGCACGCGAAGCAAGAGAAGAAAGTACAAGAAAAGCATAATAGAAACAGTGAGAAGAGGTGTGAGACAAAGGAGAATAAAGAATAACAAAACAGTTTCATTGGAGATCATAAGTCACAGGGAGTGGATGCATCTGTGCCACTGAGAACGGTTTTGAGCCATGTCACCAATTGTTTCCAACCATAGATTTTTACCGTTACCTTTGTGACACTTAGCAGGTCGAAAACAACAAGTGATTTGTATGTGAATCCCCTCACACAAAGACTCTATATTTCATTATACTATCCTCACTTTCTCATATTTGGACGATATTTTGAACTACTTACTGGTAGTGTATGCATTATGAACTTTAGATAGCACTACTTCGGACCGTGACATAGATAGACCCAGGAATTAACTGTTGATGTCGTCATTTGTGCTACTAAAATCTGCTGTTATCCGAAATGTGCACACAGGGTTTTCAGTCTATTCTTTCTCTATCTCTGGAATATTAATATTGGCAACCAACGAGGTGTTTAGTTAATTGTGAATTTGATTGTTGAAGGTTGTACCTGGAATTTGAGAATAGAATAGTGAAATTTTAGAATAAAAAGAATGTTGACGTGTGATCAAAATATAGCCATATGAGAATACAAGTGTGTAGCGGTAGGTAATTCGCCAAAATTATTAGCCACAGCATTCATCAATGAACACTGGATGCTGACTCTCACTATTCTAGATGACTTGTTTAGCTGAAGCCTTCCAGTCAAGCATCCACGCCATTTGGCATGCCATTGTGTTACGTTCGTGTACGATCCCTAGCTAGTTAAGAAATCATGTCGCACTCCAATTTTCTCCCAAGATATACTTCATAATTTGGACGGTCAATTCTGTTGTTTTGCTTCGCCTTTGGTCAATGCGGAATGAATACTATAGAAGTTGTGGGTATTATATCTTGACTTAGAGTAAATTGTACTGTCCATGAATGTTAATACTCTCAGTCTCTAAACGTTTTTATCCTCCAACTCCGCAAGTACTCGTTCAGCTTAGACCAAAGTAAACCCAAGAAAAAGAATCGATCGTCCAAAATACGAGATATGTTTCAGGTTCACTGCTGGTTACTTAAATAGCTAGGGATCATGGACGAACAACCAAACTTAACACAACGGCGTGAAAAATGGCGCAAATGCTCGACCACACACCTTCAGCTTAAACAGTGAAAGTCAGTATCCAGTGCTGAATGAAAAATGCAGCAGACCAATAATTGTGGTAAGTAGAACGGTTGACTTTGTTAAACTGAGAGCTTTCTCCAGTTCCGAAAGCAGTTAAATGAAACTGATCAGTCCTCAGAGTTTGTTACATAGTGGGGGAATCGACTTGTTTGAAAATCCGTAAATCTTCAGCAGGCTCCGCGCTTCTTTCATTGATACAGTAATAAAATAAATAGGGGTCCTATCATACCCACCTCCTCTTTAATGAACATTATCTATCAAAGCATTCATGATAATCTTCGGTTTTTCACAAAACGTTGGTATGGGACTTCCCAAGTGAAGTTCAGTTTCGCATGCAGCACAAAAATGTGACAGTTGTTTGTAATTGTAGCCAGTGACTACCGAATAATAGTAAATGGGACTGGAACACAGGAGGGAAAGAAGTTAAAAATTCATGTTCCACATGATTATCTGCATCATGTATTTTCAATAAGACACAAGTAACAGTAAGCGTTTAAATATTACGCTGATAGAAGTAATAACCCATGGACATTGTGTTTCAAGGGATGATAAAGCCAAAAAATGTCAGTTATCAAGCTTTTAGTGATGGCAGGTTGAGAATAATGCTCTGAAAGAATGCAAAGTAATTTACAAACGAGACAATATTAATAAATCTATATTTTCAGGAGCGACTACTGCTAAATGAGTAAACTAAAACGTTTACATTCATGAGGGCATATATGTGGATGTTTAACATTCATTGTAGTTATTAACTGCTTCCTTCCATTACATTTAATTCCTTTCATTACACTGTGTGATAACCAAGTACATTATGGACTCCTTTTTAATTACTACAATACCAAAGGTGAACTTCATTTTCGAGTGTACACTCTGCAAATACTTTTCCTTATGTTAATTGACAGTATCTTGTACAAGTGAATGACTCAACCCTTCGGATGACCAGCACTAGTGGTATGCTGTACGAAATACCTTGCCAATGTAGAACAACAATGTCATCTTTCAGGCAATCTCATTCATGAGATTAAGTTACTAGTATGCAATGTAAGATGTGTAATCTTATTAACTAACTTGTTTTATGAGATAAATTACTCCAGTTTTTAGGTAAAAGTTGTTAGTGGACGTGAAAATCCTTTCAAGTTACATTGAATACTTTACTAAAAACACTTCCAGTTAGAGATATTTATAATATATATATATATATATATATATATGGTTTTCCTTTTTTCTTCAATCGATTACCATAGTCATAATGTCCCCTTTTCCTTAGCTTTTTCTCCTCTAAAAGTGTTTCTGTTTTCGTTGTCTCCTTATTATGCTAACTACTTTTCTACTTTGTGTAAAGCTATGAAGATCAGGCGACTTTAACTGAAAATGAATAAAAATTACTATTTTATTTTAATGCATTTTTTTTATTCAAGACGAAATAGTGTTTTTTTTCCTGGATTTTGTTATTACAAAGAATTCGTACAAAATAATACTTGAAAATCTTGTTATATAATATAACAATATATGATAGTTTGCTAACTGATACACCAAATCCGCTTCCTCTCTTTTGTTTGCTTTTCATGTTTGTACTAGATTATTTCTTTTTATAAAGAGAATGGAAACGGAAAAGCGGTTTATACACATACATATGTTTATATCAGTTTTGGGAAATATTTAAGAAGTACGGGAATATAATATTCAGAATAAAGATGGATAGAGAGAGTTTACTTTGATTTTGGCGGTGATATGTCCACCTTTTACAGTGTAAACAGGGAAACTATAGCTCAAAATTGTCTTTTAAAAGCGAACTGTGCAGTGGTCATTAAGGGGGAGAGAAATGAAGATAGACGAAATATTGAAGTTAATAAGAAGAAATGAACCACATATAGTAGAAAGCTAGCAAACTGAACAACAAAAAGAAGAAAAAAACGTAATGAAAACATGAAGATATTTTCATTTGAAAAAGTGAAAAATAATTTGACAAGTGAAACAGCAACATCTATGTGAAAGATGCATGAAATCTAGAATTCAGCAAATTCAGCTTCAAATTTGCAAATCCTACTCTTCTTTAATGGTTCTTCCTTGTATCGTTCGAAGTTTGTTGCATCACCAGGACCCTTACAATTAGGAATTAGTGGGGCAGAAACCTAGCAAGAAAGTTGAAGATGGAAAAGTTACTGCATGAAAAGAGAAGTTACATTTACAAAAAAACTTTCATTTAGATAGAATAATTACAAAAGAACTAGGAAAGAAGCTTTCAGTCTATGATTGTGAATAAATGAAAGATTTTATTCTAAAGAAGACTAAATTAAAGCCATAATCAGTATTAAAAGATACTGGTGAGCAGTCTCTTAGAAGACGGCTTTTAATATACAGGAATGTTGCAGGATTTAATCATGAGCTGGTATCGGTTGGAGAACCACTGGAAAACCTGGGAGTACTAGACAGCTGTTACGACCTAGTTTGGCACTCTTCAGCAGTACTCACTCATTGAGGTTCCAACCCAGGTCACAATGCGAGCTCGTAGACCATTGAGCCACTGGTACCCGATCCAATGATCCTTGAATTCTAACTTCTGCCAATTCACGAAATAGCCCGAACATTTCGCAATGTCTTCTTCGATGAGTTACTGCCTCATCTTTAACCTGCTGTACCCTACTGGTGATGGCTTCCCACTAGAACCCTAGGTTAACTGCCTGAATACAGGTAGTCGCTAGTAAGCATCAGGTTAATTTTCAAGTATTGGTTTTGTGGGGATTTTTTTTGATTGAGCCACCTACCACCAGGGTTCGAAATCCTCGAACCAATAAAAAAAAATCCCCACGAAACCAATACTTGAAAATTAACCTGATGCTTACTAGCGACTGGCTCTATTCAGGCAGTTAACCTAAGGTTCTATTGGGAAGCCGTCACCAGTAGGGTGCAGCAGGTTGAAGATGAGGCGGTAACTCATCGAAGAAGACATTGCGAAGTGGTCGCGCTATGTCGTGAATTGGCAGAAGTTAGAATTCAAGGATCATTGGATCGGGTACCAGTGGCTCAATGGTCTACGAGCTAGTTGGCCTTGTAACCAGGAGGTCCTGGGTTCGAACCCGTGTGGTTGCGCACTGATGAAGAGTCCCATACTAGGACGAAATAGCTGTCTAGTACTCCCAGGTTTTCCAGTGCTTCTCTAACTGATGTCAGCTCATGATGAAATCCTTCATTCAATCAAACAAAAAATCCCCACAAAACCAATACCTGAAAAGAATTTATTATCAAGCTGTACAATCGTATATATATATATATATATATGGTTTTTAAGATGTTATATCAGATGAGCGAAGTGAACCATAGGTGTGAACGCATTAAATAATAATAGTATGAAGAGTAATTAAAATGTTTATCATAGTTAAAAGTCAAGTGGCAAAACAATTAGTGTCATACATAGAATAATTCATAGGATGTATAGGACTTGATAGGCGTGTGCACTTATATGATTAGGAGGCAAATCGAATTAAATAAAAACGTTACGCAATACTGTGTGAAATTTGATATATAGCTTGATAATAAATTCGTTGAAAAGAGTCTCTCCACCGATTCACTTGTTTTGATTTTTTATATTATTATTATTATCATCATCATCAAGGTAAGTTCAGCAGCATACTGGTGCTTATATAAGTTGCACAGTGATGTAGAAACGTCATGTATCCGTAATAAATAACAGGATAAATACTGTAACTGCGCAGTAATTTGCTACCAGTAAATCTAACCATGTGTCAGACACTGTAACACTATATTAAAGTCAAAAAAAACTGGAAACAGTCTTAGTACTTCTGTTTAAACTTATTTCGTCTTATCAAAATGCATGAAATGTTTCCTCGTTGACAATGAGAAAGACAAAAACAATGTATGCTGTATGCTTTGAAATGAATTAATCCTGTGTTTATATGGGTATATGTCTGAAGTTATGAAAATGAATATAGATGTTGCGTTTAATTTGGCTGCAGAAGAAAACAAATATCTCAAGTGACTGTTAAAGCAATTTAGTTAAATTTCTCCACTAAGACATAATCTTTATTTCGTAGCAGTACAGCAAAGTAATGACGAACACAGTCGTTCCAAGAATGTGTTATTAGGACAAAAGTCCTCGTCATAAGCTCTCATCTGGCTGAGGGCCGAGAGTCAGGGCTCAAACTGTTCTAGAGTATTTATAAAATCTGTGGTATAACGTTTGGGAAAGATTTGTTTTAGAAAGTACGTGTGAATTCGTTAATGCATGTGAAGACTATTTCAGATGGATGCCTATTCACTTCTGAATAAGAAAGGTGGCGGCTGAAGGTAATGCAAGGAAAGAATGTGAGATGTGAAATGGTAAACTCTTTGTCTCCTATTCTGTTTTTGTACGTATCATCTCCTATGGAAACAAACTCAATGAAAATAGAATTTTTTTGACTGTTAAAACATTCTGGTATCGTCAAACCTTCTTGCGTATTTACTGACAATCACTTGGGAAATATCGATTTCCAAAAAGACGATTCTTAAGTACACATCATAAAGACGAACAAGTAAACAGAACCTTGTCGCTAAATGAAGCAGTAATATTACCAGCCTTATTTGGTAACTAATAGAATGCAAACTACAATTAATTAAATACCTGGCCATGCTTTTTAGACCTTGAGATAGATCCAAAAGTTAACCGGTTACCGTCATCGTATTTCATTCATGCACAGTTTTCTTTTTTTTAAATGGAGTCATTTAAGAAGATGTGTTTTGTATCTATGCAAATTTCGAATGAATTATGCATATAACTCACATAAATAATGGCATCATGAGTTATAATTTCCATATCACTTACTAATAAATTTTTCATGAATGTGTCAGAGAGAATATTTATGAGTAGACTATAAAACTTGCTTTCCTCTTTATATTCATAAGTGAGTTCGTGGCTGATGTCATTCGTACGTAACTTGTAAGTTTTTAAAATTATATACACATGGGATATATAGGCTGAAACTGTTAAGTCAGGTGGACAACTGAATGCAGTGAATTTCAGAATACTGCTCGTGTCATAAGCCATTTCTACCCTACTTGGTGTAAAACAGTTTAGAAAAGAAACACAACTAAATTTATCGTAAATAGATAAATTGAAGAAAATAAGAACTCTACTGAAGACTTTGTTAACATATTTCTCTAATGAGATTCATAGCATCCATATTTCAAGCTAGTGATTATAACTAGAATTGAAATCTATGAACTTCGTTAGCATTTAATAATTTTAAAAGTATTTTTATAATAGTCGATATTTAATGCACAGGAAAATGTTTTTATTTAAGAAAATGATTATGCAAATCTACTAAGCCTATTGTAACCTAAGTTTAAGACATGAAAACAAATTGACTAGAAGTGGGTATTACATTAAACTCTCCATATGAGGAATCTAAACAATAACAAAAACAGAATTTAATTTGTGGATGGTGACTTACAGTGGAATCCAGGATACGGATTTCGTCATATTTGGGACTCGTCAGTTACTACTGTCAAAAGCAGCGTGGATTTAAAGCATCACATAGAATGGCATGTTTTCACAACAAGTTGTTAATTATTAAGAACAATATTGTTTTCAATTAGATATCATCAGGCTTAGCTCTAATATATATATATATATATATATATATATATATATATATATATATATATATATATATATATATATATACCGACTCTCTCAAAAAGCTGAACCAAATAGGAGTATTATCATCTGCCACGTATGAGTCCATGAAACCAACGGGTACCAATACTCCGCGTCTTTACGGTCTACCCAAAGTGCATAAACCGGGTCTTCCTCTTCGCCCTGTTTTGGATATGTGTAACTCTCCATTTCACGGAACAGCGAAGTGGTTAGTGAAGATTCTGGGTCCTTTGCACAGAGAAATCGTGCAACATAGAGTTAGTGATGTGTTCGACTTTATTTCAAAAATATCCGAGATGAATGTGAGGTATAAACACACGTTATCCATGGATATATCATCACTATTCACTAATGTACCGCTTATAGAGACAGTAGATTACATTTGTCAAGAAATCACCAAAACACAATTGGACTTAGGAATCCCACTGTGTAGCCTCAAAGAATTACTTCTCAAACGTACAATGAATGTACACTTTGTCTTCAATAATTCTTAATACCGGCAAGTAGATGGAATACCTATGAGTTCACCATTAGGCCCAATGATAGCTGATTTCTATCTCGCAAAACTTGAAAGCGGGAAATTGAAAGACATCAAGAAGTTTGATATGTATTACCGTGCGTCGGTGGCACAGTGGCTAGAGCTCTCGCTGACCATGCACATGGTCCGGGGCTCGATCCCCCTGCCGACGCACACCTGATATCTATGGTCGGCCTGCAAAATTTGGGCTACCAATATCCATGCTTAAAAATTCCATACTTGTACGGAAAATACAGTGTGGAATCAAGCTGTAATCAAAAGTAAAATGAAATAAAAAAATTAAAATGATATGTTGATGATACATTTAGCTTAGTTGATGGGGATGTTAACATGGACGAATTTTTGATGAAATTCAACAACGTCCACCCTTCGCTTTCTTTTAATTGTGAAGAGGAGCAAGAGAATAAACTGCATTTTCCGGATATCTTGCTGAGTAGACGGGAAGATGGGGCACTTGGGAGAAGCGTGTACATTCACAGGGCAATAAACACACTTCCTTAGTTACGTGCCCATTAAATATTAAAGAAATGTTAAACGTCTTACGAGCTGAGCAAGAAAGATAAGTATAAAAGGAATTTGAATATATTCATGATTCCTTGACGCAGATTGACTATCCGATCAGTTTCATAAAGAAACACTAGAGAGAAAACTGAAAACTATGATTGCACATGAAAAACCTCTATTTATTAAGTTACAATTTAATGGTGACTTCAAGTGAGATTTTATTCCAGAGACTTTCCGGGAGCATACGAAGAACTTTCTACGCAGTGCACCTATGTTTATTATTCTCTATCTGACGAATGATAGGGACGCAAATAAAGGGTAAACTAGACAGTTTTGTCACATCTATCTGCATTTATCAATTCAACTGCACTTGCATTGGCAGTTATTTTGGGCGTACTACTAGACAGCTTAGCCCACGTGTTAGATAACATCTC